TCCTAGTATTCTTTCACCCCTAGCTCCGTTCCTCCCACCTTTCCCCTACCTTTCAGAACTTTTCCCTCTACCTGTTTACACCCCCACTCAGTCATCCTCTCATCCCAGTTTCTTGGGAGATTCCACTCAAGCCTTTTGTGTTTCACTTGGGGCCCTTGGCTAGACATCTGCAGTAATAGTACTAATAGTGGCCACAGTAGGAGTAGTTAAGGCTGCAGTGATGGTGCATTTGTGTTTGTGTGGAGAGCCAGCGGGGGTAAAGTCACACTCATAAATGCTTTCAAACCCTTTATCATAGTTATCCCTTTCATCTTCCCAGGAATCACTCTCACACGTTTTCAAAGGGTTATCCCTCTATATTAATGAACTAAATCAAGTCACAGGAGATCCCAGAGAAATATGAACTGAGGCCCTGAAAGAGCTTCCAAAGAGCTCATTAAAAAGCCAAGAGTCAAATAAGTGAACCAATTTCCGGGCTGTAAAATTTTAGAGAAAATAGAGACAATGCCCTACTGTTGTCTGATGAGGCTTCTGAAAGGTGGCAGAGCTCTGGCAGGCACTGGAGATGGGACTGGCCATCCCTGATAAGGGAGCACAGTGAGAGAAGGCACAGGGGTGGGGAAGGGGGCCAGAGAAAGTGAAGAAGAAAGACCAAACATCCAGGCTTACCATGACTAGAAATTACAAAAGATATGATATGAAAATGAGTTCTTTTCTAATAAAGCCACAACTGCTTCTAAATTATATATATATAAAATGTTTATATATACTATATATGCTATATATTATATATAGTGTGTATATATATGTGTGTACATATATAGCATATATGTAAATATCTTAGTCTATAATTCAATGTGCAGAAAATGCTATTGTTTGGAAGTAAGAATAATTTTTAACTCAAGGATTCAGATAGTTATTTCTAGAAGAATTATCCAACCCACCACATTTACTTCATATTCTCTCTTCCTAGAATCCCCATCAGACCTATAGTAGAAGGTCCTTTCTTTCTTTTTTTTTAAGTTTTTTTTTAATTTTTATTTATTTATGATAGAGAGAGAGAGAGAGGCAGAGACATATGCAGAGGGAGAAGCAGGCTCCATGCACTGGGAGCCCGACGTGGGATTCGATCCCGGGTCTCCAGGATTGTGCCCTGGGCCAAAGGCAGGTGCTAAACCGCTGCGCCACCCAGGGATCCCTCGTTCTTTCTTTCTTTCTTTCTTTCTTTCTTTCTTTCTTTCTTTCTTTCTTTCTTTTCTTTCTTTCTTTCTTCTTTCTTCTTTCTATCTATTTAGCATTTTTGTGATCCATTTTAACTAATTTTTCAGATCTGGCTTCTAATTACTAAATCTTTGTGTGTGAGAGAGAGACTTTTTACATTTCAATTATTTTTAGTTTTTCACTTCTAGAATACCAATTTAACTTTTTTATCCAACTATTCTTGCTCATTTTTTGTAACAGCCCATTATTGCCTTCCAGATCTAATCCTTTATTTTTGCCTGTTAAACATTCATTTTAAAGTTCCTTTCTTATTGCCTACCACTTGGGGCTGCGAACTTTTCTCCATCACTACATACTGCAAGTTATACATTGTATTTCCCTGTGTGCTTTGTAATTCTCTCTTATGGATTTATCAAAAGGAGACCTGCAGATGGTTTGTGCTGGTTAGCCCCTAGATCTAAAGATAAGACCAGTTTCATGTTTATTTCTCAGTTCAGGGGCTTTCAAAACATTCAGTTAGATGGAGAATTAAGCCCTTACATCTCTAAATGATTAATGCGTGCTCAAGACTTCAAGTTTTTCTGTTTTTCCACTTCCCTGCTTGCACAGGGCTGCAACCTTGATTCTATCCAGCGTGGTTTCTATTTCCAGTCACCATTGTGGTGTGCCTTAAAACAATTTATTTTACTAATTTTTATTTTTTTATAATGTTTTATGATTTCTTAGTTTATTATCTCTTATGAAACTATAGGTTGACTAGGCTTAGCCAGGTGGTTCTTTTGTCCTAGGTGGTGTCAACTTATCTGAGTGGGGCTGCAGTTATCTGGAGACTTGATGGGTTGGTACATCTGAGAGGACTCAATGTATCTGATACTTTTGTGTTGTCAAATGGAAGACTGGGATCAGTTCTGTGGTTTTTTGGCTTGATGTGGTATTAGCAGGGTCTGCAGTTATCTGGAGGTGTGACTCGGTTGGAACATTCTAGAAGACTGACTTACTTGGCTGGAAGTCAGTGCTGGCTATCAACAGAGAATGGAGCTGGGCTGTTGATCAGAGTGTCTCAGCTTTTCTCGATGGGGTCTTGTTGTGTGCCTTGAGTTTCTCACAGCATGACCGCTGGGTTCCAACAGGGAATGTACTAAGTGGAGAAGGCAGAAGCTGAAGATACCTTAAGGCTTAGACCCAGCAGATATCACTGGTTCCACATCCTGTTGGTCAGAACAGGCCACAGGCTAGCCTAGATTTAAAGGTAAGAGAAACAGATTCTACTGCTCCATGGTAAGAATGGAAAAGAATCTGTGGTCATATTTAAGCTACTACAGTTGTTATAGCAAAGGCTCCCCAGATAGTGTCTTAAAGACATTTGGTTTTCATTCCTAAATGATAGGTCCAAGGATACCCTATCCAGGACTTGATGGCAGCTTTTATGTCACCGGCAGCCCAGACTCCTGATTACAGGGTGGTTGCAAAAGCTCCAGCCATTACAACTAACTTTCAAGCAGAACTGAAGGGGTAGAGCAGACAGGCAAAATGGATCTAACAACTGAGTTAATCCTTTTAAAGTAAACGGCTTTTCTTAAAGCCTCTCATGACTGCTGCTTACAACTCACTGGTTCCCCCATCTGCCAAAGAAAGTATAACAGTAATGTCAAAAAGAAGGCATGCCCTCATGTCAGAGATATTTTAACTGTTTTCTTGTGCAACAGGAGGTAGATATGAGCCAAATGAGGTAAGGCATGAATCCCAAACAAATCTAGTTCAGATTCCTTAACTTTCCAGCTACCACCCTCTTGCTTGCACTTGACAAGGATTCTAACCGTGGCACCAGGAAAGTGTGTCTGTGGCAGGATGATATTTGTGTTGTGTTGAGATGATGGGTATGGCATCGTCATGATAACAGGGGACAGGCTTTAACCTGCAGGCAACTGACACAATGGTGGTAGAGTACTACTTAGAGAAGGATTGCAGTGCTCCTTATTAATAAAGTTCCATTTGTGAGCCTAATTACACCCTTGCCAAATAATAGAGTTGACTTTTTGTGTCATTTCCTCCTCAGTTGAAACTAGAGATGTTCTTTATTAGAAGATTTGAGAAGTCTGCAAGTTTATGTTTAGGACTCTTGCTGCACATTTTTATGTATTTGCCCCTTCTTTCTCGGTCCTGTCATCTCCCTCATCCTCTTATAGGGTTCAGTGGCTACAGAGGATTCAGAATCCCTCTGAATGGAGAAACTCATTCATATGTAGGTGGTACTCATTGAACGCAGCTTTACCTTCTAGCTCTCTTGTAGGAAGGTTCTCTTATGAAGAGGGTACTAATCAAAGCCATGCTTGGCTTTCCACAAGATAACCCTTCTGTTATGATTTTGCAGGTGCCTGATCAGCCCATGAGGCAAAAGGCTTTATAGGGGTCCTTCTCACAGTCCACATATAGACAAAATCCCCTCTGCCTACATGTAGGGCCAGTCCCAGGCCATATGACTCAGTAACAGTGTGGCCTCTCCCATAAGAATGCTCCTCTTCTGTTCATTCTGCATTTGCTCTAGTAGGGACACCAAACAACCACCTTTGGGCCAGTCCAGTTTTGTAAAGTTTTCATAGAACACCATAATGCTCATTGGTATACATTTCGTCTATGGCTGCTCTTGTACTACAGCGGCAGAGCCACGGAGCTGCAACGGAGATGAGCTGCCCACAAGATCTATACTTTTTACCATTAGCTATCTAAACTATTTATTTATTTATTTATTTATTTATTTATTTTAGATTTTATTTATTTATTTATTTGTGAGAGACACACAGAGAGGCAGACACATAGGCAGAGGGAGAAGCAGGCTCCCTATGGGGAGTCTGATGTGGAACTCGAACCCAGGACCCTGGGATCACCACCTGCGCCTTTCAAAGGCAGATGCTCAAACACTGAGCCACACGGGTGCCCCTATCTAAATATTTATTACTTACACATTTTTCCTCTATGGTGTCCAAGGCAGAATTGGTTCCCTCTAAGGCCGCGGTTCTCAATTTTGCCCCCAAAGGAGCATTTGGCAATGTCCAGAGATATTTTTGGTTATCACAGTTGAGGAGGGATGTATTGCCCCTGGCATGGTGGCTAGTGGTCAGGGATGCGGCTAAACACCCATGATGCACAGGCCAGCCCCCCACAACAAAGAATTAACCAGTCCCAAATGTTCAAATGTCCAAATTCAAGTGTCAGTGCTGAAGGTGAAACCCTGCTATGAGGAAATGGGTGTCCTAGAAGACTATTATAGTTCTTTATTCACTTACTCAACAAATATTTATTGAATGTGTACTAGGCACCAGGCTTGTATTAAGTCATGTGTATGTCATATATATAATATGCATATTATATATTTATATAACATAAATATGATATTAATGTACTTACATAAATGTAATATAGAGCTCTAGATGTATATGTTATATATCACATATATTTGTATATGTGCCATATGTAGTCTGTAATTATATACAATCTATACTTTTTATTTAACCTGCACCACAGGATATAAAGTTGATATTATCATCCGCATTTTATAGATAAGAAACCTGAAACCCAAAGAGGTTAATTTACCGAAAATCATCCAATGAGTGGAGGAAGGGGATTTTTTTTTAAATTAATTTTTATTGGTGTTCAATTTACCAACATACAGAATAACACCCAGTGCTCATCCCGTCAAGTGTCCCCCTCCGTGCCCGTCACCCATTCACCCCCACCCCCCGCCCTCCTCCCCTTCCACCACCCCTAGTTCATTTCCCAGAGTTAGAAGTCTTTATGTTCTGTCTCCCTTTCTGATATCTCCCACACATTTCTTCTCCCTTCCCTTATATTCCCCTTCACTATTATTCATATTCCAGGAAGGGGATTTTAAATGCAGCGCGTGACAATTACTCTGTACTTTGCTAAACGTGGATTTTAATGGAAGAGAAAGCCCTCTGAAGCCAGCCAGCGCCGCCTTCAAATTTGGGCTCTTCCACCTACATGCAGGGGAGATGGAGACAGTGATACCTTCCCTGGAGCAGGTGCAAAGGTCCAGCACTGAAAGCACGGTATGCCCAGAGCCTGTAGTCTCGGGTGCAACAAAACTGTGAGCTCCGATTACCTTCTTCCCAGTGTGTAACAGGATTGTGGAGGACGTCTGGAGTGCTGAAACCCGAGGGGCCCAGGGCGGCACGGCACTTTTCTCTACTGGAACGTGAGCAGATTTTCTGGATTATCTCAGCCCCCCCAAGGGAAAGGGGCTCCCTCCCCTCCGTGGCAGGACCCCTTCTTTGCAGCCGGCTGAGGAGCGAGCGAGCGAGGGTGAGGCTTCTTTCTGCCTGCATCTGTCCGTCTGTCCGTCTGTCCGGGCGGCTTCTCCCTGAGGAGCCCCGGGGTCCGGATTAACCCCCGGGAGTGACAGACTGTCAGCCGGCGAGGCGCCCGGCCTAATCGCTGCGCCTGCACCGCCGCGCTCCCGACACTCCCGCCGAGCACTTGCAACTGTCAAGAAGGTTTTCTCCTGACGGAAGAGAACACAATTTCACATTTTCAGAGTGAGGCATAAACGCACCAGGCAGCTGGAGATGCGGAGCCGCGGCACTCGGGGCCCAGCACAGCTTCACAGCAGACAGGGCACTCTTCCCGTCTTTAACCAGCGGGCTTTGTCTTTTTTATTTCTTTGTCTGTTTTATTTCTCTTTTTTCGCCCCAAGGCTTGACACTTTACAAAGTTAAGTCTGTAGCCTCGGTCATATTATTTCAAGAAAAACAGAAGCTTGGGCTCTGGGATCATTGAAGCATCACAACCAGGATCTCAGACTTTGGAGGAACAATTCAGGGGGGGCCTTTGCCCCACTTGGACTCCTCAGGGCCTCTGAGAGCCTTCCCCTTCCTCTGATGTTCCCTTTTTTGCTCACCCACACCATAATTATCCAGTCTTCCTGCCCTCATCTCCTGGCATCAGCATCATTGGTGGACAGAAATTAAGATGGGAAGGATATAGTCTCAGACCTGGAGAGATTCTCGTCTGAAGAGTCTGGACTGTGCATAGCCCATACAGTACTCTTCTGGGTTCAAGCAGATGTTAAAAGATGACTATTCTTCTGGTCTCAGTTGCTGCTGAAGCACTAAGGCTGGGAGCAAAGGTAAAGGCCCCCACATTCTAAACAGAGAAGCCAGACCACATATGAAGGATTTGTTAAAAGGTAACCGCCTTCCCCCAAATGCCCATCAACTCCTCATTCATAATTGACCTTGAGAAGGCATAAGGGAAGGCTGCAGAATTGATGAAGGAAGGATGGAGGAGATTTCTTTGTGAAATCAGAATGATGTCAATAAATGATATATGTGACAACTGTGCCCCGAAGCATCTTTCTTATTCATCATGCCCAGATGGACAGAGAGATTGGCAGATACAGTGTATACCCCAGCATAAACCAGAGAACCCTTTCTAACATGGAAAATGTACCAGGACGAATTCCAGACCTCAAATGTGGATGGTGGAATCTCAAAGTAAAGCCATCTTATTTTGATTTCTGAAGAGACAAGATCCCTTGCCTCACCTGAAAAAAAACCAATGTGAAGCCTGGGATGGACCTACCACCCACAAACTGAAACTTTCAGGCAACTGCTCCATTTGGAGGGGAATGAGGTATGTCAGGGAAATAGCAGAGGAAATCCACACCAACCACGTGTGCTTTCTCTGTGCTTTCACAGTATGAAAAGATATCCAAGGATCAGCAGATATTTGAGGAAACCAGCAGTAAAGAGAAGGATCAAAGAATTTCTGACTTTAGAGGAAAGAGGTTTTGAGACTAATAATCAATATACACTCAAAGAAATTTACAAAACAAGAAGAGGCTACTACTAAATAGGAGCAATAGTATAATTTTTAAAACAAATATTAGAAATTAAAAATAAGGGACACCTGAGTAGCTCAGTCAGTTAAGCATCTGCCTTTGGCTCAGGTCATGATCCCAGGATCCTGGGATCAAGCTCCGCATCAGGCTCCTGCTCCACAGGGAACCTATTTCTCCTTCTCTCTCTGCTTGCCATTCCCTGTTTGTGCTTACTCTCTCTCTCTCTCTCTCTCTGTGTTAAATAAATAAATAAAATATTTTTAAAAAGAAATTAAAAATAAGACAGTCTAAATAAAAACAAACCTAAAGTGTTAAAAGAACTTGGGAAATAAAATATGGGATATTTTTTAAAAAGTAAGAAACATAGAAAAATAATCCAGAAGATCAACATCTACCTAATCACTGTTCCAGGTGGGAAAGAAAGCAAAACATGGAGGGGAGAAAATAATCAGTGGAAAGCTAGAAGAGAAATTTTTCAGAATTACGGAAAGATATGGACTCAAGATTGATTGGACACTACAGACAATAGAGCAGTGCCTCAGTGTTCTAAAGAAAAATGAGATTTTAAAACTTGAATTCTATACCCAGAAAAACTATCAAAGAAGAGTAAAGATAGATATTCTCATACATAAGGTCATTAAGTTTACCTACCAGACACTTTATAAAAAATATACTTGAGGATGTCCTTAAGAACATGGGAAAGGAATCTAGGAAATAAGAACTCATGGCTTCTAAAAAACACATAGAAACTACTACTACCAGTACAGTGGAAACAGTAGAAACTACTACTACAAAGTGTAGCAAAAGAAGTATTGGCTTCATGTAAATTAGAACCAGCAGATAGAGGGTCTCAAGGAAAGTTTCTTCAAAGGAAATACATTATACTCAAGAAATATTATGATTTAAGAGGGAACTGAAAGATCCAAGTACCATGCTGTCATGATACAACTTATTTTCTCAAAAAGAAAAGAAATACAATTATAAGCTCTAGTCAAAATTAAAAAGCACAAGAAAGTCATGAAAGGTCAAAAGCAAAATTCACTAAATTATGGCATTAATTTGAGCAATTTATGGCATATCAAAAAGGTATAAAAAATAATGAAAGGGATTATAGGGGAAAGGAGGGAAAATGAGGGAAAAAATTAGAGAGGGTGACAAAACATGAGAGACTCCTAACTCTGGGAAACAAACAAGGGGTAGTAGAAGGGAAAGTGGGTTCTGAGAAGATGTGGTGGCTGGGTGACGGGCACTGAGGGAGACACTTGACGGGATGAACACTGGGTGTTATACTATATGCTGGCAAATCGAACTTCAATAAAATATACATATTTTTATAACAATTAAAAAGAGAAGAAGAGAATCTCATTGGTCTTGACACTTAGATCATTCTCTTACAAGCAGCACAAATTTGAGGATATACGATTAATTTTCTGAGAATCTAATCACATTATTTAGTTCTACAGTAAATAATATTTACATATCATGATACTGTAAATTTTATCTATCCATTTTAAACCCATGACAAAGCACTAAACACATGATTATGATTATAGAACAGAATATCAATGCCAAAACCTCGTTAATATACAAAAAAAAAAAATAAAGCTCATGAAGGATGGGAAGTGGAGCAGGGGAGAAAACATAGAAAGCAACATAGAGGTAGTATATATCTGAATAATTATGAATCAAGGGATAGTGTCTAAAACAGAACCAAAAGTAGAGATTCCAGTATATTAACATTTTAAAGATCATCAATAAAGATCAAAAATAACAATTTAACCAACAAATTCAAAGGAGGCATAGAAAGGAAACCAAAATTATTATGTGTAGGTGAGTTAATTCTTCATCTTTCAAATGAGAAAGCCTATAAATCAAAAATTACTGGACTATTATTTAGAATAATGGTGGTAACCAAGGTTAAAATAAAAACATCCCTAGGAGGGGCACCCCGGGTGGCTCAGTGATTTAGCGCCACCTTCAGCCCAGGGCCTGATCCTGGAGACCTGGGATCCAGTCCCATGTCATGTCGGGCTCCCTGCATGGAGCCTGCTTCTCCCTCTGCCTGTGTCGCTGCCTCTCTCTCTCTCTCTCTCTCTCCCTCCCCCCCTCTCTCCCTCCCCCCCCCTTTGTGTGTGTGTGTCTCATGAATAAATAAATAAAATCTTAAAAAAAATCTCTAGGAAATGAGGGCGAGGGTAGGAGGACCACTAATTTCTCAATCATTAATAGTGTGTACTGTATCCATTATCCTTTTTCCTAGGTGTATCATTTCTATGATTTACAAAATAGACAGTGACGACAAAGTAAACACATTTCCTGATAAGTAGATTTGGGGACGATCTGGGTTAATGCAAGTGTTGCACTGCCAAGCATACCATTTACTCACTTATTTAGAGTTCAGTCGGTATTTACAATTGTGACAATTTGATAGCAAGGTAAAACTATGATCCTGCTGAGCTAAGCCCAGGAGGTCCAGTGACAGAACAAGACATATGATCCAAATTTGCAAAGCTATATAAGAGGTTTTGTATTCATTCAAGAACTAAGTTATGGAACACTGGCAAATAAGAAATTATGAACCCCAATGTTAAATCCAGATGACATAACTTAAGTACATAACGTGTATCAGGCTAAGCATTATTCTTTGTTGCTGTCAACAGCAGGCACCACTGTCCCCGTACCCTTCAACCGTTCCCCTCCACTGATCACCTAATGTCCAGAGTTAGATAAGAGGCATTTAATGTTCTTTACCATCTGACAGCACTCACCCCCTCTAAACTCATCTACTACTCCCATTGTGAGCTGGAGGTAAAACTAAACCAAAGCAGCTGCGTCCAGGGGCATGGGCAACAAAAGGATACAGAGAACAATTTTTTTTAGTATTCTCTCGTGTCTGGATTATGTTTTTTAAATGCCACTTCCTATTAAGAGAAGCAGAGCTTTTTGGAAAAATGACTAATTTCAGGTTTAGGGCAGATAACTTAAAAATTTTGAGCGAGATATACGTTGTCATACTCGTACACAGAAAAGCTTGCTCTGGGTAACTCTGACATAATTTATTTGCTTTACCGTATTTGCATTAGTTTTCAAAATTATAACACCGGCATATGCTTCTAACATGAAAATACTGAGCAGAGGCAATTCTGTATATTCTTAGAATACAGATTCCCCACCCCTACCCAGGCTATCTGAAAGTAGAGGATTCCAGCGAAATCTTTTCTAAGTCATAATGTATCTCCTCACCCCTGCTCCCTGAAAGCTCACATTATGCCACTTCACTTTAATGAAAAACCGCCCAACCTTTGCTGCCGGTTCTGGCCCACACCCCTAAAAGGAAAAAAAAAAAAAAGAAAAACCCACATTATACCTGTTTTTGCTAAATGAAAGAAATCTGAAGAGGATTTTCACTTTTGAGGGGGGGAGGAAGCATTATGGCATTAATGTCCAGTCTCCCATAAAAGTTTAGTGGTGAAATGAGAACTTCCAGAAAGTAGGGATACCTACCTACATCCTATGCAGGCTCAGTAAAAAAAAGACTGTGTTCAAATGACCTTTGGGATCATTCTTTTTTTTTTTTTTTAATCTCATGTACAATTAAGTTGATTTGTTTCACTTTATTTTCCACTGTTGCATTTGTTTTCCTTAATTTAACACATTTATAC